GGCATAACAACTCACTCACTCACTCCCAAGGTCGATTGGACCATGAGAAAATCCAGTCATCAACTTAATTTACTGGTAAATTGTTAAGGGTTTAGTTTCATTAAGAGGCAACTGTTGGCTGAATAGTTGTCTACTTTGCTAGTTCAGCCAGCTACTTTGTACTTTGCATTTTTAAGACTTATAGAATAATGTCCTATTTTGCCCTCCTAATTTTCAAATCTAGTCGCCAACTCCGGAACTTAGCAAAACCCCTCAGTTGATATTTGACTATGCAACTAGGCAAGCAAATAAGGCATAAATTGAACACCAGAGACAACTGCCTGGAAACATTTTTGCAAACTAAATTCCCTACCTGAAAGTATTGCTCAAGTTCGGGAACATCAAGATTTTTAGCACTCCAATCTCTTGATACTTCTGTCTCTTCCTTCTCGTTCAACCACATTAGCTCTGTAGTCGCGGCCTGCATAAACTCTAATAACAATTCCAAGTCTTTGATTCTCTTAGCGGAAGAGTCTAATAACGATGCGTACACTTGCTCTAATCTGGACAAGTGTTGAGAGTATAGCGTATACTCATCACCACTCAAGTTACTCTGCAATGGAAAGTAGAAAATGTATATAATTAAATCTGGGGTCAGGTCTTAACATTTATATTTTCTTTCAATATTGTACTTCGGAATCATAAAACTAAACATTTTAACTGTAATATACAATTCAAATTTCAGTAGAATCTGAAAAGCTAACGTTTTAAGTACCACTCGCATTTTAAGACAACAACAAAATAAATGATGATGAGGCAATATCTTCAACAAACATTTGTCTATCATATAAATTTCATTGTGTATAATGATCAAACTAAATGATATTACTGTTGTGCTAAACTTCAAAGAATAAGATGCAGCTGTAACAAAAAAATATTATAATAAATCATATATCATACTTACTTTGGCATCTCTACATCTATCGATGTTAGTTTTAAATTCCGTAATGACGCGGTGTTCTTCACTGTGTTGTCGCAAATATCTCTGGACACTCGGCAGATCATTGCCATAGTCCAGGGAGTCTATGGCAGCCTGAGTAGAAATGGGAGAACATGAAATCAATGGTTGAAACAAATCACAGTCATATTTGTGACCACATTTTATAAAGTTAACATTCACAACAACATTCACAAGGATGGAAGGACAAAGTAGGAAGCAGAAGAAACAATGATCGAAGGAGATAAATTAAAATCGTATTTATGACCACCTAAAAAAGTTAACAACCCTGACAACAACCACATCGACAGGCATTAACACTTTTCCTTTCTACATGCCAGTAAAAACAATGTAAGAAGCAAAATTAGTTTCTATAGAGTCCAATTATAACTGCTCATAACTTTGTGAAGAACAAATTTTCCCAAATTCTGAGTC